GCGCCCTCGAAGCCAGAATCCCTTGTAAACGACAGCGCAGTCGCACCCCCGAGGCCACCATCCATTGCAAACTACACGACGCTCGCATCCCAGAAGCCATGAACAATTGCAAATTCCGTTATGCTCGCGCTCCCGAGGCCATACCTCTTTTCCCCCTTGTGCAATGCGCGCGTCTCCGAGGCAATACTCTTGCCTCAATCCCTGGCAAATTACCGAGTCGTCGCGTCCCCGAAATCACAAACCTACGTGGAAGTACGCAGCACTCGCGCTTCCGAGGCCACAATCCTTCATTCAAGGGCTCTGGGACGATACAAGAGGTCTCCGAGACGACCCAAGACTGCTCCAACGCGCCCAAGATGGCCCCTAGACGGCCCAAGAGGCTCGCAAGAGGCTCCCAAGAGCGCTCCAAGAGCACCCCCAAGAGGGGCCAAAAAGGCCAACATCTGCGATTTGCACGCTCATATCCCCAGCGGCCCCCGTTGGGAGTTCCGACGCTGCTTCACGATGACGCCCGGGCCTCACAGCATAGCTCTTGCACACCTCATTCTCCGGCAGAGGGCGAAGCCCTTACGGATAACTGGCTGCAGCGGGAGAGCTCGGTAGAGGACGCCCAGAAGGGAGACGTATCGACAACCGAGACATCGGTGCTGCAATCAACGGAACTGTCCCGAACGAACACGCACACAAACGTGAACCCCGTTACCCCCGCCGTTTCGGATAAGAGTGAGGGGGCGCGGGTATTCGGCATCTTGCGAGGCTCCAAAGCATATGTAATGAAGCCCGCCACAAGCGCCGACTTCGTTTTGCAACGCGAGCCCGCCGCAAGCGTCATGTTGATTAAGCATAACAGCGAACAACGCTGATGGGTCGCGGGTGTGTCGTGTGGTGGGTCCCAGGGTGGGTCGCGGGGCGGGTCGCGGGTGGGTCGCGGGGCGGCGTCGACATGAGGAAGAAGAGCAACGAAAATCCGCAAACGCGGAGCCAACTTCAGCCTGATTCAGCCACACACCCAAGGACAGCGTGAGACAGATCGGCCCCCTCACTCTGACAAACACACACACTTACACACGCACACACACATGCACATACACACAACACCACACAACACACATGTACACACAAAACACGCAAACGTACACACGTTGAATCGGTATGCTGCAAAACCATTGCTTTACAGGCTTGAATGCCTGAGGCGGCTGCTGAACCAACGTCAGAGGCCATCCGAGACGGCCCCGCCTGGCCCCAAAGCGACCTGGAGGATTTCCACGACAGCCCCAAGGCGGCACCTGCAAGACCCTCCAATCCGGCCCACCACAGCCACAGGGCAGCTCCAAGACAATCCCAAGACCCGCCCAAGCGGCCCCAATATGGTTCGACCGAGTCTGTTTGGGAGAGCTCGGCGGAATAATCGGGTCGAAGAATATCCAAAAACGCCCAGGGAACCGCTGGGGCACCATAAAGCCATTGTCCTACCGCCTGTGTGGCCGTAGAGACCGCGTGCGGCAATGATCATACAACTCATTTTCGGAAGACCGTCCTACAATCATCCTGTGTACTTGTCGACGCCGCGCTGGCACCTTGGCGGAATTTGCCGCAGGAAGATTGATAGCTCTACGGTGTAGAACGCGGTGAACGACATCTGCAAAGCATACAGCCACGTCGCAGGCTTCCAGTCTGTTTGCAGCCCAGCGTGCTCGAGAGCGTGCGCCATCGTGAGGTGCGCCTCCACGCCCATGAAACCAGCGTTGCAAACGATCACGAACGCGCACAGGCCGTCGAACGCTGGACTGCGAACGATCTTTCCAACAAGCCCTGGCCTCCTAGCCCGGTCCAGACCCGACGCGGTGGAAAAGAAACTGTCAACGGTGCGGCAGCCCTTGTCCCCATGGTCCAAGCGTCGGCGACCAGTCGGGGCGACCTGGCTGCAGGCAGTGCGGCCGACTTGCGGTCTTCCCTACGCCCATGAGATGAATAAGAAGACATGCGGTGGGGCATGCGTGTAGACATCTCTCATCTGGCCTCCCAATAAATTGGGAAATCATCAACTAACCCATCCGGAAAAATGTATGAACCTTTCCTCAGGGCCACTGGTCAACAAATATCCTTTAGAAATGCTGACACCAACCCTTCTCCATGCAACGTTGGCCAGGGGGGAAGGTCAACAAAAACAGTCAGGCGGGCGACAGGCGACAGACTTTCCTGGAGCTAGCGGCGGCTCCCAGGGTGGGTCAATTCGTAAACAACGCAATGTAAGCAATAAGTGCTTGCCAAAACGACACCGTCTGGAATATGCATATGTATATATATATATAACAGATGTACATACAGACATACATGCACACACCTCTACACCCACACATGTATATGTATAGCATAATGGTCCGATGATGGAAATGTGTCAACTTCCCAAGTGGTGGGGAGATGGCACCACCATGCTAAAACAGGACGTAAAGAAGGGCGGGGAGGAGAGAGAGAGAGAGAGAGAGGGAGAGCGACAGACAGAGAGAACCGAGAAGCGAAATGCCTGATGCGGCCGACTGGCCGCTGGCACGCAGCACGAGCTGCACAAACACAGCCGGACACGCAAGAGGGGACCAAGATATACTCTGCAGGCCGCTTCAACAGGGCGGGCAGAGCGGGCGAAAGACGAGGCTCGCCACGGCCGCACTCGTCAGCCTCTCGGCAGGGCGCAGGGTGTAATATGGAGGAATGGGGACCAACGGCTGATCGCGACAGAAACTTTCAAACAATCGGCGGCACGCGAAGCCCCATTGCCATGAGACCGACAATGCACGACCGTGGTGGCGGTGACTAGCACTGGCATGGCAGTAGAGGAGGCACGAAGGAAGAAGGAAAGACAGCAAACATAATAGAAGAAACCGGACGCACAACACGCCGCAACTGGAAAGATACAACCCGCCAGAGCCAAACTAGTTACGCGAGCGTGGAGGGTAGGGAAATGCATACATACACAAATATATATATATATATGTGTGAATAGATACGCATATATATACCGATATATATATATATATGCCTATATACAGACATATACACATGTACCCGTTGCGAAAGATATTCATTTTGAACACTGACGACTGGGGCGTCTCCGATCTGGACCCCTCTTCCCCCCGTAGACTCCTAGCACGGCAGCCTGCGGCCTGGTTAGGCGGGAAAGCTTTCCGGGGCTCTCCCAGGCAGAGCGAAATCGGGGACCGATCGGAGCGCCATCAGAGCTGACTCGGAGAGCAAGCTGAGCCTAGTCGGAACATAATCGGGACCCAATCGGAGACCAGTCGGACCTACCTGCCCATGGGCAGCCATGGGCAGGTGACGCGCGTGACCAGGAGAACTGCGTGTGAAAAGCAAATGCGAGCCTGTTGCTCAGCCTGGGGCCATACACTAGAAGGATACACAGAGGTGACGCGGGTCACCCCAACAACTGCGTCAGAAAGACCAAGTGTTCCACTTGCATTCTGAGCTGCACCATGGGGTCAGACACTGTGAGAAAACAAAAAACTAAGACACATCTCAACCCGAAAACGGTTGCAACAGAAAAAACAATTGTTTCACGTGTTTTCAGCGCGTCAACCTGGGGACGTACACTGTAATAAATCACGAAGGTGACACGCGTCACCCCCAAAACCGCGTGAACAGGACCAATTTACCCACTTGCATTCTGAGCTAAACACGAGGTCTTACATGATGAGAAAGCGCAGGACAGGCACGCGCCACCCCAAACACAATGTGAGACGAACGAAGTATCTCACTTGTAGCTTAAGCGTCAACGTCGGGTCGTGCATCACGAAGAAACGCAAGGGGTGACACTAGTCAACTTGAAAACCGCGTGCGACGCACCAACTGAAACATTCTTATTCGAAGCGCCAACGCGGGACCGTATCATGTAAAACATCGCGGGGGTAACATTACCCCGAAAACCGTTCGGATAAAAGAAATGCTGCCAATTGTATGCTGAACGGGAGTGCCGACACGGGGTCATACATTGTAGGAACGCGGAACGCTCAGGGATTACACGCACAACCCTGGACACCGTATGATAATCACACATGTTGGCACTTGTACACTATTCGTCAACATGGGGCCACGCATAGTAAGATTGCTCAACAGTGAAATGCGACACCAGGATAATCGTTAGACAACAACGAATTCTTCCACATGCGGCCTGAGCGCCAAGACGCGGTCACCGACTGCAAGAACAAAAACGAAGGCGACACATGTCACCCCGAACACCGTGTCAGGAGGACGTGTGGCACTTGTATTCTAAATGTCGCCAAGGGGCTTTACATTGCAAAGAAGAACAATAATCACACGCCTCAGCCCGAGCACCGTGTGAGAAACACCAATCGTGTCACTGGTCTCCTGCGCGTGAACATGGTGCAACGCATGACAGAACGCACAGGGGTGGCACGTGCCACCCCGAAACCTGTGGGACAAACCACTTGCACACTGAACGTCAACACGGGGCTCTACGTAACAAGTGGGCACAAGAGTAACAGGTGTGACCAAGGAAAAAATGAGATCAACACAACTGCGGCACGTAACTTAAGAACGTTGACGTGGGGATACATGGGGTCATACACCAAAGGAAGCACACTGATGACACATGTTACCCTGAGAACCGTGTGGAAAACAAACCCTTGTTGCACGTGTGAACGCAAACCATGTGTCGTACACTGTAAGAGAGAACAGGGGTGACACGGATCATCTAGAAAGCGGCGTGAGAAACAACAGTGGCTTCACGGATGCTGAGCGTCAGCATGGGCCCTTGCAACGCAAGCAAACACAATGTTGACACGTGTCGCCCAAAAGTCGCGTGACAACAAAAACTGGTAGCAACTTTTATTATAACCACGATCATGCTAAGAACGCACAGGGGTGACACGCGTCACCCCGAAAACAGCGCGAGCAAAGAACGTGTCGCTGGCATCCTGAACGTCAACATGGGGCCAGACAGACTATGGACGCACATGCATGGCAAATAAGACCCAGAAAGCAATGTGCGAACACCCAGTCTGGTATTCGGAGCGTCAACGTAAGGTCCTACACCGTAAGCGCAGATGATGGCGAAACACGTCACGCCGAAAACCGTGTTAAGGAAACCGCCTGTGTCGCGTATGTGTTGGAGGCCGATCTGGGGTCATGCATTGTCAGAGCGCACCCGCGGGTGGCACGGGTCACTCAGAAAACCACGCGGGGGAACCCAATCGTGTCACTTGTAGTTTGAAATTCAGGGCGGCGGCGCGGGGGCATACACTGCAAGAGAGCACACGAGCGTGGCACGTGTCGCCCCGAACCAGATGTGAGGAAACACAAACGTTCCACCTCTGATCTAGGTGGCAGTCTCCGGCCATACTTTGCAAGAGCGCACACGTGACATGCGTCCCCCCGAGACCGCGCGATAAAAAACACAACCGACCCAGTTGAAGTCTGGGCGCACGCGTCACCCCGACAAACTTGCGAGAAAAACAAATGTCCAACTTGCATGTTGACCGTCAGCATGGAGTCCAACAGCGGGAAGAAACGCAAGGGGTGACACGGGCCACCCAACGAACTGTATCAAAACAACCAATCGTTACACTTGCAGTCTGAACGTCCTCCGGGGGCCGCTCCCTGCAAGACAGCACAACAATGTCACGAGTCGCCCCCGAAACCGTGTGAGAGCTCCAACTGCGCAACTTGTATCCTGAGCGCCAGCGTGGAGCCGTTCATGTTAAGATGGGGCAGGTGGCACGTGACACCCCGAAAACCGCGAAGAACAAGACCAATTGATCCACGTGTGTTCTGAACCAAACATGAGGTCACCCACCCGCAACTTGGTTCGCAAAACCCATGCGGTGGCGATTGCGATGCATGCTTGACGTTGGCTGGTGCATCTCGGCGGCCGCGCCAACCCAAGCGCGCGCGCAGCGGCCAGCCCGTTTGGAACTACCGACGCGGCCGCGGTGGCGCTGACCGCTGGGCGCATTCCAGCGGGCACTTCAATGCGAGCCGGGGGCTTGGGCGAGCGTGGTATCATTACAACGTCGACAGCGGTAGACACAATGATGATAGTAGCAATGCTGGTGGCGATGTTGACAACAACGAGGGCGCGGCCAGTGCGGGCGCCGATGTGTATCACGGCGACGACGATGACGACGTCCTCGCGTCGGTGATGAAGGTTTGGGAATGAGTTCGACATGCGCGCGCTGCGGACGCGCGAGAGTGACCCGCATGGTGTTATTTGACACGGATCGTGTCACCCTAGCGCGCGCGCGAGGGCGTGCGAATGATGTCGGCGTGCGGCGAGAGAGGCTCGTTTGGCAGAATTCGATGAACATGTGGTTCAAAAAAGAACAACCATATGGTTTTCGCCTCACGAATTATTCGCCAGAGCGCGAGCGCACGTTCTTGTAGAAACTGATGCTGCGAAATAATGTGTTTTTGTATGTTTCTTTGTACGCTCGGTCTTGACATCGCTACGAAACCAAACAGGTGTGTGACGTATTTCAGCATGCGCGCGACGACGCGCGCGACCACTTCGTCGCATTTTTGATTTGGCAAACAAGAATTCTCGCGACGGTACGCGCGCATGGGCGTTCGAACGATGTTGACAGGCGGGCGCACGAAGCCCATTTGGTAGAATTGTAGGAATATGTTCAAAAACACCGATGCGAATTATGCGATATCTACATATATATAGATCTGTATATCTGTATATTTATATGTATATTTATATGTATGTATATTTATATGTGTATATATGTATATATATATATATAATCGCAACAGCGCGCACAAGCGGTTTTTGAAACCACGCGTTGCGAAACCATGTGTTTGAATGTTTGTGCAACGCTCGATTTTGAAACCCTTACGAAACCGACCATTTTTGAGGGACTTCGGCATGCGCGCGTGACGACGCGCGCGTGCGCACTTCGTCACATTTGTTGTGAAGGATTCTTGACAAAAGATGTTTGAGAAACGACTGCGCGCGCATAGAAGTATTCCAGGAGGATGGCGGGGGGGGGGGGGGCGATACCGACTCGGCTGGGATGGTACCAACTCATATTTCGAATTGGCGATGGGGCAGAATCGTATATAAATTGCAGTGCGGAAAGGGGATGGGACAATCCCTGGGGGGTCGAAGCTATTTGTATATATGTCTATACATATACATATATATATATATATGTACATATAGAAAGGGGAACGTATACAGTACAACCTACGTGCTGCAATCTATGCGGTGCAGTGTGTGCGATGCGGCGACGGCGACGGCCGGCGACGGGCGGCACGGGCGGTGACGGGCGGGGATGGCGGCGACGGGCGCCGACGGCGACGGGTGGCGACGGGCGGCGACGGGCGGCACGGGCGGCGACGGGCGGGGAATGGCGGCGACGGGCGGCGACGGCGCCAGGCGGCGACGGGCGGCACGGCGGCGACTCTGCGGCGAGGGTCCCTAGATGGTCAACCGAAGTAAGAGCCCCTAGTGCTGCAAGCACT